AGTGTTGCAATAAATTTGATTGTTCGAGGATTTTTTAAGTTATACTTTATAGTCTTTATACTTTTTAGATACTGGTTAGTAGGGAAAACTAAGCACCGTGTCTTATATATACCTTTATGACGATTGTWTTTACACATTTTTTTCTATATTACTTAATCTATTTAGACCTTGTAATTTTAACATCCGGTAATTATATGGTATAATGTATGTTCATACGGTAAAAAAATTTATAATATAATAACACAAGAATGATAAAATGTATTATGGTATATTATTTTTATTTATCTACTTTAAAAATCTCGATTTCAATCCCGAGGACGTGCAAAAATCATTCAACAACAATGGTTTGAACAATTTTTCTGAATTTATAATACTTAGTTTCAGATGCTAGTTTTGAAAATAATAATGGAAAAAAATGCTATATATCTATTAATACATATTCAATGTTAATCTCGATAGTAATAATCATAATATTATACTGCAGACTATATTATTATTGTTGTTGTTTAGCTTTTTATGACATACCTATATAGTTCTTAATTTTGTGTATGCAATACAGATATAATATAATAAGTATTTTATATACCATACCTATATCATACATTTCATATACTGTCATATCTTGAGACTAACAAATATATTTTTGACGGAACAACACAAGCGGGTGTAGCGTCTTCTTAGAGAACTTTTTTACTGCGTGTAAGCGCTTACATAAATAAAAATTGTTAAAAATTAATCTTATGAAATACGATTTTTTTATCAAGTTATGTAGGTATACTTATCAAGAACATCCATATATTGGAAAATCATCGAATACAATGCAAGGTCATTTAGATGAAATAATTTGTAATTTGTATTATCTAATAATTTGATCATATATACGGTATGGGATAATTAAAATGGTCACTGATATGGTTGTAATTTTATTGTTTAATATTTTCATTGTTTGTGCACTACCTATCCAGTTAGTGAATGTAATAAATAAAATTATATTAGGTACCTATCAACGCTCAGTTTTAAAGATTTTAAAGAATAGTTGAATAGCTTCAATTAATTAGTATAATAAGTCATAATATAAAATAGGTATTATTAACGAGTATCATATTTAAGGCATTAGGTACTATAGTTGTCCTAAAGATAAAATATATGATAAAAGTTCTATATTTTGAATTCCGGTCCGAGTTTTTTTTTAGTTCTGAATTCCGTCATAATTATTATTTTTCATATCTACAATCATACCTAAATAATAATATGCTCCACGTTCGATAATAACGATAGTCACCAATAATAATATAGATTAGATTAGGTTAAATTTTGTTTATTTCTACTGAATGTAAATATTATAAGATAATAAATATAATAAGATACAAATATTATACA